CGATTGCTGCCCTTTTTCCACTGATTATGTAAGCTGGGCTTATTAAGTATCAAAGTATCAATTAAAAGCTATTAATTTGAGATTCTGGAGGAAAATTTGTGTTGGAAAAGAAATGCTGAGTAAACTGTCTTATTTGAAGATGCTGAAAGAAGTGTGTACTGTACGTTTAACTCTCAGTGTAGCTGAATAAATGAAAATAAATGATTTCCAGAGCCACTTGATTCCATTAGCAAACCAGAATTTAAATAGTAATTAGCAGAGGTGTAAATGTGTAAATACAGGTGATGGGACTGTAGGACTATATTACGGTGGGAATCAGGTCAGAAACATTAATGTCACTCTAGACTTTCAAAGCTGTCAATAAGTGATTCTAACCTCAAATTTTAACCTAGATGCTAAAACATCGTTTGACCTTGAAATTACCGTATAAAAGCCTAAATGGAAACAACACAACACATATTCTGTTCCAAACGGCTGATCATTTATTGATAAAGAAAAAACAATAAGACAGAGGTTTTAGGGGGGACATATTTTATCCTATTATTACATTGCTGATGGGCAGTACATGTCTCAGTGCTTCAAACATCTTACAAATACATTAGGTTTGGCTACCTCATTCTAGGTCATAGTTGAAATGACGTTTTCATCTCTTTTCTTTGCCTCATCTCTTCCCATCCAACAGTTTCTCCTCATGAACAGGCTTTGATAGATTTGTCACAGTTTGTGGCATGCGCTCTGGGAGATCCTCAGAATGAGTGGGCAATCCAGCCAGCATTCAGCACCCCCTCCCCCATCTCCTTAACAGGAAACATCACATTTGTTACCAAAAATATGAGCCTAAATTTACATTCAGTGACTCACATCTTATTTAAAAGCAAGCATTTTTCCCTTTTGTATCTGAACGCAGGTTGATAACAGAAATGTGAAAAGGAGTCAAAGTGGTGTAAAACATTTCCTTTTGAAATTCCTAAGTGTGTCTCAGAAATGCTCTTTTTTGATTCATATATATATAAAGAACAGAAAAGGGAGCACAGTTTACTACTTAAGCCAGCAATGCTTTGATAATACACATGCTCACTCTTCTCTTCTTTACTGAATATTTGTTCTCCGGGAATCAGAGGAGGCACACTTATATAATGCTTCTAGGCTTCTCATGAAGTGTGTGTGCGTGTGTGTGTGTGTGTGCATATGTGCAGCAGGAAAATGAATCTGACTATTTTTACTGCCGTGATCTTGACTCCAGCTGTACTGTAAACCTGTAACACTCAGCAAGCACTGTGCCTGCAGAGCTGACTGTAAGCAACAGCACGGTAAAAGGCAGCACGATCTGGGTCACTGACAGTGTAACAACCTGTTTAACCAGCTCAGCAAGAAATCCCGTTACTGCCCTCTGGTGGCCACATACATATCACACTTCTGTGTAATGAAGTCCACTGATTTGAACGATCGAAGTGACTGTAATATACGAAGAATAAGAGCAAGACATTAGAAGAAAATAGTGCAAGACACCAGGATGGTATGCCATCCACCGGGTCACCAGTTAATTACTTGTTGATAAGATAAGAGTTAAAAAGAAATGAAAAGCTTTTCCAGTATTGTAGGTAAGTTAGGACCCCAACTATGAACCTGAACATTAATTATTATCAAATAAAATATTTATTTTTGAAGGATGGCAGTCTAAATAAAAGTATGTAAGTTGCATTTGCACAACAAGAATTGTCAGCTTTTATTTTGAATAATGAATCATTATGTACACAGAGCCACTGAAAGTGTATCTAGAACAAAAATGCACGAGTCAAATGCCCTCAGCTAAGAAGACAAAGGGGGAAAACCAAAAAAATAGAAGAAGAAAAAGAGATGTACAACCTAAAGAGCAACTAAACTGAAGGACTATTTTTCACTGAAGAGGGCAAGTCAGAAAGTTTGTAAGGAACAGTTACTGAAGACCAGTGTGAACAGAAACCGATATCTGTGCAGAGGCCTGAAACTGACTCGAAGATCAGCCAAATGTAAGTTGGATAAGGTGTTTGATTTTTATGGGTCAATTCTGAGAACTTTCAATCACACTTCATATTTGTCAGTTTGAAGAATGAAGGTCAATATTAATTTGTGGGCTTGACAGTTTGTTGTATTATCTAAACATTAAAGCAATTAAGATAAATACACAAAAATGTTACAATATGTGGTTCACGTCACTTCTC